GGTGGGAGGTTCCTGGTCCCTTTTCTGGGGGGTCCTAACGCTGGTTTTGGGGTGTCCCCCCCCCCCAGGAGGACATGAGGGGGTGGCTCAAGGCCTTGGCCACCTGCGCCCAGGAACACGCCGAGGTGGCCCGATGGCACCAGGGTCTCACCACCTCCTCCACTGACGAGGGGCTGCCCAGGAGGGAGGGGGAGAGGCGCCCCAGCACCTCGGCCAGGAGGAAGTGACACCCCAAAAAAAATCAGGGGGGACCCCCCCACCCATTGGGGGACCCGTTTTTGGGGGCATTTCACCCACTTTTGAGGTCCCACCACCTCAACGGTTGAGGTGTTGAAGACCCACCATGGACTTAGGACCCATTTTGGGGGGACTTATTTGGGGGGATCCCCCCATTTGGGGACCCCCTCATTTTAAGGGAGCCCCAGTTGGGTGACACCCCCGTTTGGGGACCCCCCACCCATTGGGGGACCCGTTTTTGGGGCCATTTCACCCACTTTTGGGGTCCCACCACCTCAACGGTTGAGGTTCTGGAGACCCACCATGGACTTGGGGACCCACGTGGGGCCAAAAAATGGGGTGGTGTGGGGTCTTGGGGGGACCCCCCAGTTTGGGGGGCACCCATTTGGGTGACACCCCCATTTGGGGCCCCCCCACCCATTGGGGAACCCGTTTTTGGGGCCGTTTCACCCACTTTTGAGGTCCCACCACCTCAACGGTTGAGGTTCTGGAGACCCACCATGGACTTGGGGACCCACGTGGGGCCAAAAAATGGGGCGGTGTGGGGTCTTGGGGGGACCCCCCAGTTTGGGGGGCAACCATTTGGGTGACACCCCCATTTGGGGACCCCCCACCCATTGGGGAACCCGTTTTTGGGGCCGTTTCACCCACTTTTGAGGTCCCACCACCTCAACGGTTGAGGTGTTGGAGACCCACCATGGACTTAGGACCCATTTTGGGGGGACTTATTTGGGGGGATCCCCCCATTTGGGGACCCCCTCATTTTAAGGGAGCCCCAGTTGGGTGACACCCCCATTTGGGGACCCCCCA